GCACACAAATGGATATAAATCATCTAAATTTCAATTTTTGACTGTAGGTAGGGGTCTTAGCTTCCCACAGAGTAAAACTGTAAAATTCATTGCGCTATATGAGACTTCTTTCTAGTCTTTGGGCAACTGGCAGTCCCGGGCTGCCATGTTTGAGAAAAAGGGAGAAAGTGGACACTACAACTGCTCCAGCTTTTGCTGGAGAATACTTTCCTGTTGTGTGCAGGAAGGGCAGGACCCTAGTGTTCTCATTAACCTAAGGAGGCAGAAACTGGGGCCCTAAGTGCTAGAGTGACTGGGTTTTGTGGAAGAGGGTACTGGAGAAGAGGGGAATTCCTTGAAGACTGGGGTTCAACCCAATTCTTCCATTAAGGCTGTACTGTCTGTGAACTGGACAAGATCCCACAAGACCGAGTAGCAGCCATGTACTGCGAGGCTCAGACTTGATGCTGATGCCAGCAGTTGTTGCAACCCCAGAATTTGGTGCTGGTAGATCTTGGCACACACACTGTTGACAGCCCAAAAAAGCAACTAATCAAGATTAAGGGTCACAGCTTAGAAGCCATACCTTAGTCGTAGGTTCAAACTAAATAGACCCACCCAAATGGGTCAAATCAAAGGAATCCACAGTAGTTTAACTGGCAGAACAAAACACTTCCTAAGGTTAATAATATAACTTTGATATAATACAGACCCCATTCACATATTATCCACAACACCAGAATTTAATCAGAGTGTAAAATAAATATTCAGAATTATAAGTGGACAACTGTGATGCAAAGTAAGAATAAAATTCATAGAAACAGATTTGAAGGTGACCTAGCTATTGAAATTAGCAACCAGTGACTGAAACAGCTGCTATCATGTGTTCACACACTACAGGAAAAAGCTTGTCATCATGAGTGAACAATATCAGAGAAAATTGGGAAACAGTAAGTGTTCATGTGAACAGAAGTGTAGCCATTAAAATGTAGTAGTAATTGATAGAGAAAAAGTGATAGTGGGGAAAAAGCACTGTGCAGATTTGATTATTAGTTATGCTGAACTATGTAAATATGGACTTTAAAACCGGATTAGTGGGAATTAGCAAATATATTATCTCGGTTATTTTTAGTGACATTTTTTCTCTATAGCATCCTAATTTTCTATTTCTCATAATGCAGAACTTAAAGGAAAATGCACACATATGGAAGGAGAATAAGAATATAAATCTGATAATTTCATCAGCTGTGATTCTATTTAAGAGACTTTTTCATCTAAAAATTGTTCTGTGCATTAAAAAATAAATATTTAGGGAAGAAGATTTAAAAAATAACTTTCTGAGTAAAAGGCCTAATGCAAGAGCTTATACATATGCATGAGTGTACGTATGTGAAGTACTAGAATTGGTAAAACTGGTCATTGGTGAAAAGAACACTAGAGCAGTGATTGTTCTGAGGAGATGAGCAAGACCTGATTGGGAAAGCACATATGGAATATCTTGGGGTCATGGTAAAATTTTGTATTCTCTTTAGGGTTTCAGTCACACATATGTATACAGATACATACAGCTAGAGACATAAATTTAATGAATACACATTTAAGATTTGTGCATTTATATAAACTTTACATCAAAAGAAAAATGTCAGCCAGAACACAGAACTTTTGGTTTTGTGATAATGTATAAAATCTAAAGTGCTCTTTGCTAGCTTTGTTTCTATACCTGAGTTTTAGGTAAATATTCCAGACTGAGAGAGGTACCAAACCAGTGTACCTTAATAAGTACTTTGCACTGACCTGTTAGTAGCATTTATTCCACTGCATGAGTCGTTTCTTGTAAGTTGTGAGCTCCTGGTGGCCAGGAAATGCATCTCTGCCTTCTGTACATTCCAGACATTTGCCCAACAAATATTTAATAGGTAATTAAGTGTCCCTCCTGCCCCAGTCCCTATATCTACTTGTAAGAAAAACTTTGCTATACTTATCAAAACTCTTAGTTGTATTCTTTTTTATACTGATATCTATAATTTACGCTAAATAACAAAGGTTAATCTTTTAACACTTATTTCAAGATATATATCAAGGAAATTGCTTGAAATTATACCCAAATGTAACAGTATGTGGCTTAAACATCTACCCTTTGAATATTATGATAGAGTTGGCGGCTGGGTGTAGGTTTCCAGTTACAAAGTGTTTCAGGCAGCAATAGTAGGCTTCATAATGAAATTGTGTTGTGATATTTAAATTAAGGCAACATATTTAGAAAATACAGTGTCTTGTGTGTAGTTTTAAACTTTCAATATTTGTAAAATGTCAAAATTAGACAAACTGAAAATTTACTTGAAAACCTTGTTGTAGTTAGTGTTTATATGATAAATTTAATAATAAACAAGGTATGGGAGGATTAAGTTAATTTTTTAAAATATTTGAGGAGTTATATAAAAGAATTTCTAGTAGCTATCTTAAAGCACATTAAAAGCATATTCGTGAATTTCAGAAGGAAATTACATGCAAATGAAGTTTTTGACCAAAACGTGTGTTACTGCATATATGAATGTATATGCACACACATATGTATATATACACATATACGGTCATTGAATGAAAGCTTTAGTGGATGTTTCTAGTTGATGAAATATTTTCCTTAAAATTTATTTATTTCCTGATGGATATGCTTGATGTAGCTTTTAAATGATTCAGAATAGTTCTACTTTTATGTTTAGTTATATGTTGAATTTAGTTTTGGAAATGATCTTTAAAAGGGTTTGAATTAACTGTGCATTCCATCATATAATTTTGTCCTGATGATTTTTCCCATTTTCTTGTTTTACTTACTTGGAATATGATAAATTCCATAGAACAGCAAGCTAATTATAACTATTACTAGCATTTTACAGCTTACAGTTGATAAATTTAATATTGCATTTGTTTACATTTGTTTACTATTAGTATAAATTATTAGTTAACATTTTTCAAATCCATATTTTATGTTCAGTATTAGACTCAGTGCTTTGCTTGCCTCACCTTATTTAATCTTCACAACTGTGAAGTTGGCCTTATTATTTATCCCCCTTTTACAAAATGAAGTAATTTGGAGATGCAAAGTGACTTCCCTAAGGTTACACACTTAGTAGTTTAAGTGGATTCATAACCCAGATTAAATCAGTGTCCAATTCAAGTCTATACCTTTATACTTTACGTCGCCATGTTTTACAATCTAGAATTGACACTTGTTCACAAAAATATTAGGTACTTCCTGTATGTACATATTGAGTTTGATGAATTAATCTTAGTTCCTGTACTGAAGTTGCTTTTAACCGAGAGACCTTGCTATGTAAAGTATGATCCACAGCCTGCAGCATCAGTGTCTCTAGGGAGCTTGTTAGAAATCCAGACTCCCAGAATCCAGTTCGGGAACACAGAACTGAAATATGCATTTTTACTAGACCACCAGGTGATTTGTGTGTATTCAAGGTTGAGAAGCACTGGACCTAAAGACTTAGAATAACTGGATCAGATCAGACTAGTGGGCACTGAGAGAGGTGACTCAGTGCCTTTGGACTGCACAGGCTTCTCAGAGCATGAACGTTATATAAATATTATTTATCAGTCTATGTACATTGCACCTGCGACAGTTTGGTGAAATCCTCTGAAGTCTTTCAAAGGCACTTAATATTGTGTTTTAGAAGACAGTTTTGGGGCATTGAATCTTCTGATTTTAAGAGAATTGGCTATCAAGTGCAACAGCAAGCATGTATATGAGATCAGCTAGCCATAGATTTCACTTGAATACTTTGTTCTGTATTACTTTTTATCTTTTCACTGAGATTAAGTCTGGATGAAAATGGAATAAAACTGATTCATACTTTAGATCCATTTTTTAGACATTGTTCAAATATACAGCTCTTCTCAAACTCAAAGCTTTAAGTTGTATCACTTTTTGAATGAGGTGGCATTGGTCCATCACTATAAAAGGTTTTTTAAAATGATGTTTATTAGACTAACGAAGTTTAGAAGTGAAGACCTGATTTTCCATATCCCTCCCCTGTTTACCTAACGCCTTTTTCCTAACACTGAATTTGTCATTTTGTTAAATACAGAAGTTCTGTTTCTATGACTGGCTTTCTCTCTGTTGACATGATGCCCTTATGAACTAGCAGGGTCTGGGCCTTAAATGTCTACCAGCAGTCCAAAGTTTAACCTGATATGCACATTCTTTTATTAACAAACATTTTTCAGAATTTCCTACAGGAAACTCTATTCTCTTACCATGCATACCAATAACACTATAGTTAATAAACAGCTCTACTTTGAGTGACTTTCTCAATTAAGGCAATTACTGACTTGGGGGGTTAGAAAGCGAATTCCAGTAAGCTAATACACAAGCTTTTTAAAATATTGTAATAATAGAAATTGAAAGATCTATACTTTGCATTTTTGTTAAATGCTATAGTTTTAGATACAGCATAACTTTGAAGTCCTTTTCACTAAAATGTAACTAGAGGTGTTAATTTATATCAAGAAATAATTTGAGCCAAGTATTTTTATGATGTAGCCAGGTATTTTTAATTTGATTGTAGATCTAGGTTTGTCCCATACTCTGTATATTTACTTTAAGAAATAAGCCAAATAGCTGTGAAAATGAGGAACTATAAAGATTGTATTACGTCACTACCCAAACTCAGCCTTAAGTCTCTATTTTGCTTACCGGCAACACCTTCCTTCAAGAAGTCACTGCTTTTTTTAGAAAGCCCAAACCTTTCCTGTGAGCCTAAGAAATAATTGAAAGAATTTAAAAACCTTTCTTGAAGAACAACTGAAACACACATACAATACACTAAGTAAGTACAAACATTTTAAAAAGTTGAAAATAATATTTACTTTCCTCAAGCATGATTAATCATATTTTCATTGTTAGTATCCAAATTTAATAATGAAAGTTTTCACTTCTGTCTTTTTGATCAGCTATATTTACAAGTGAGAAAATATTTTTCAGAACTTTAAAACTGCATTTTATTTTTCAGCAAAGATGTCAAGGAAGTTAAGCTTGCCTACTGACCTAAAGCCTGATTTAGGTAAGTAAAATAAATAAAAGTCTTTAATTAAATAAGTTCCCTTTAATGGGAAAACAAGGAAATCAAGAGAGTTTTATTGTAGGCTACAGTTACATCTGTAATCATTTATTTTCTTAATAAAATTTTATTGATTTCCTTTGTTTTATAATACTAAATTTTCAGGCATATAGCTCATACCTTTGCATGTGTATAAACCTCACGTTACTAACCACCCAAGTTCTAGTGCCATTTCTATTATCAAATGGAAACCAAAATGAAAATAACTAAGATGATTGCAAAGTAATAGCTTTTTAGAATCCCATCTGCAAATTACAAAAGGCAATTATAAATTCAAGAAATGAAAATAATACATACATACATACATCTCCTCCATTCTTTCATACTTTATATCTAAACAGTATTTAGTTTCAGATTAAAATTTGTGCAAATTTAGATTAATTCTGTTAAAAGATATTTTATCCCATTTTACTAAAAATGTATAAGGATATAATAATTCAAAACAAATTGCTAATTTTCTTTATTATTACATGAATCTCAAAAAATTGTTATGAGTTGTTACTGATAAATTGGGAAGTATTTTTCAATATCACTGTCTATGTAACCAATTTGTTATGAAAGTAGAGTGAATAAATATATTAACACATTCTTTTTGCTTTGTATCCAACTCAAAAAAACTCCTTTGCATCCTAGGATAGAAACAAGTGACATTTTAATAGAGATAAAAATAAGATTTAGTGTAATACAGACAAAGCAAGGTTTCCTTTTTTAAACTCCTTTTTATTTAATTCCACAAATTACTGTTGCCTTTAATTGAATGAGAATGTTTTGTGAAGATTTCACCCACTTGTCACTTAGAAGCAGCTTGGATTTGCTCACCCACCTCATCTCACTATTTTTGAATCTGTTGACTATTTTTTGATGTATAGTATAAATGTGGTTATTGGTCCATTTTGCTATAACTTAGCATTTCCAAATCATAGACTTATCTCAGTTATTCTGATAAAAAAAATGCAATTATAATTAATTTAGGCATAATTTCCTCCTCTGTAATCAATAAAAGGTTCTATTCCTGAACATGGGAGAAACAATTTAGTAGAAAATCCTTTAGTGTCACTGGTATAAGAGAACAGGAATTAGTTCTAGAATGTATAATAACACATTTTGATTAGGGCATAGTTCTCTTCACTATAAAAATGAAGATGTCTTTTGAACCCAACTGTATCTGAGGCTCAATTTTTCCCATCAAGTAGATCTGAGTTTTCATCAAAAGCTCTTAAAGAAGCCCATAATTTCAATAACATTAAATGCTGCTAGTGAAACTAATTTTGTGTCTGTTAATATCTTAAAATTCTAAAAGAACACATGTACAGCACTTTCTAAATTAGTAGAATTACCAGTTACTTAGAAAACCATTACAAAAACAACATTCACATGTGTGAATTATGTAATTTAACTAATTGTGCAGTTCATACTTTTCAGATTGTGGTTATTTGTGTTTACCTGTCTGCTCATGTATTAGAATGCCCTAAGTCAATTGTACCTTTAATTGAAATAGGCCTTGAAGGAATCTCCATGTTACCTGTATAATTTCTCTTTAAGTCATTGTGCTGCAGCACTGTTTTTTGTTAGAGATTTATAACTGGCAGTTATTTCACACTGACATTGAGCTATTAGAAATACAATTAGATTGAGAGACTCAAACTGCCAGATGTTGCTAACGCAGCTGAGGCTGTCAGATTGCTCTCCAGTTTTGGAAGCTTTTGTGAATAGGATTCACTTTTGCTTATAGAGAAATTGTACAACTTTGAACTTTGATCATAGTATCATCCTTCCAGGTTCTGTGACCCACAGGTTAGGAACTGTGGGAAATGGGAATATTGTTAGCGCTCTTGCTGAAAAGACTGCCTGCTGAAGATTTTTGGTTGTTGGTTTTGTTTTTTGTTGTTGTTGTTGTTTGTTTATTTTGATATCTAAAGATTGAACTTTAAAACTTATTAATAATAAAACTTTCTACCCATATGCTGTTGCTGATATGTCTAGCTAGCCCATATCTGTCTAAAGTTTTAATTGCCCTGGGCATGGGCCCAAATCCAATTTCTTTGTCCTTGGCATTTCACTTACCCTGTCAGAGCCTCTTATTTTATCATTTGTTATATTGTGATGATAATACTTTTCCAGGTTATTATGTGTGTGTACTTAATAAATGTTAAATGAAAGTGTTTGATAGTATCTAACACATAATAGGGTTTATACATTGATAGCCATTTTTATTTCTGATCTTAGTACTAGAGTTAAAATTTCTATTGTATTTGTTTAGCTGACCCAATTCCTAAAACTCAAGACATAATTACCTACAACATATAATTTAATAATAGTAAGTAGCAGTTATAGTTCTTGAAATGCTGAATAATCTAACTTGCTTTTGAACAGATTTAGTCAGATAAAATAAGCAGCCTTACTCTGTAAGTCCGGATTTAATTTTGATTAATTTCTCAAATTGATCTAATGTTAGGAGTGTCTTTGGTAATTTACATTCATAGGTAAGTCATATACTAAAATGCAGTTGTAGTTTATGAATTTTATAGAATTAAGTCAATCCATTAAATTAAAAATTTTAACTTATGACTAATATTAATATTTGAAGCATGATTGTGAATCATTTATTGTGATTTTAAATAGATATCAGTAAGAGTTTTTAATAATTACTGAAATAATTTACATGCATATTTACTAAGTTAATTACTGAAATAATTTACATGCATATTTACTAAGTTTTGTATCATAGATTTCTAGTTTTATCACTATGTCACTACCGAAATATATATATATGAGAAAATATCTGCTTTTTAAATAAAACATAAGAATAATATATGTATTATTTTAAGACTTCTGTTATTGTTGGAAGTAATGATTTAATATTGGGAATCAGTATCATGTTACACATTTATCCAGTAATAAACTATTGTTTATGCAAAGTTATTTCATTTAAAGTAAGTAGTTCTTTTCTATCCAGTCATAGTACCTAATAAGGAATGCAATCTAGCATTCTTGCTGTTATCATAACTGGTCGATTTATATATTTTCAGTATCTAGTTACAAACAAATTAAGTTGTGTATAATTATTATTGGGGGGAATATTTTTCAATATATGAAACTAAATTTGACTATAGAAAGCTTTTTGAGGTATATTGGTAGGATATAATTATACTTTTCATTTGGTAAAATACAATTTAGAAGACTGGAATATGTTCATTTTTAACAACATTCTGGTCATTTCTTTTCATGATAGCATTGAAAGCATGTGATTTAACAAATGACTAATTCTAATGGGACAGCAGAAATATATTGGTTTAAGAAACTCATCTATATGTCTACCTTCAGCAGATAATGTATCAATATTTTTACATGCAAGACACTATGCTAAATTCTTCAGGGCATCATAATAACATAGCTAAAAAAGCATAGTCACTTTAAGGCAACATCTATAGCAACTCAGAAATATCTGCAAAACAAACTTTTAGTACCATTCAGGAGAGAAAAAGCTGTAGGGATTCAAAAGAGAAAAACTATGGCTTTAAGAAGCTGGTTAAACATCATGAATAGGCAGTTACCTGAGATGAAAAATAAGCATAGTTTATAGATAGAGAGAAGGGTGAGGCCAGGGCAAGGACCAGAAAGAAGTGTAAGAATAGTGAGTGGTTTTTGTTTGCTTCCAACAATGAAGTGAAGCCAGGCAGAATTAGAAGATAAGGCAAGGAAGGTACACTGAAGATCACAAATCTGAGTGTGATAGATAATAAACATGATAAACTAGTAAAAAGAGGACTCTGGAAATTTTTTTAAAGTACAGGTGAAAGATTTATAACTATCTCTTCTAAAATGTAATTGAGTGATGAGAGAGATCACTTGGGAATTGTACAGTAATCAGCCTCAAGGTGATGAGTCCTGAATAGAGAGTGACAGAAAAGAGGAAATAACCCACTTGACACCCTATCAGATGTGTGCAAAGTGAAAGGGGAGAATCAAAACCAACGCTCTTTTAAGTGTTCCCTAGGAAACCGGATCGCCATTAAATTGCGCCACTGGAAGAATTCAGAGCTTTTGGGGAAATGCTATGTTTTGATTTTTGCATACTCAGACAGCTAACAGGAAGAAAATTCCAATAAGCATTTGGAAATGCAATTTCAAGAGAAAAGAGGCTAGAGCTCAGCCAAGCCTGATATTGGCCACAGAGAAAAAGATAGCTAAAGAAAAGGGGATGTATTCATGTAATTTACAAGTGTCCATATCATTTACAGATGGAGCCTGGTAAAGGAAATATACCTGGTATCAAGTTAAGTATGAGGCAGATACCAGTGAATTGTGAAAAATAATGAAAAACACCTTAGGTGAAATATAATTCAAGAGAAACTAAAGCGATCATACTGGATAGATTTGGGGGAAAACAGAAAAATGGTACATCACAGTCAGTGTGAAGGTAGAATCAGAGTACTTATAAACGCATCTTTCTTTAACTATTTTTTTTAAGATTTTTACTTATTTATGCACACAGAAATGGGGGATCAGAGGTTCAGGGGCGGGGAGAGGACTCACCAGAAACAGTGGGGAGCAGAACAGGCAGATCAACAAAGTACATTGTGGAAGGGAGCAGTTGGCGGGTCAGGAGAGGTCTGCTGCGCCATGTTGGTCACCTGGGGGCTGGGAGGAGGCAGGTATCGAACTTGCACTGAAGCATCCACAGGTTGGCTTAGCTTTGCAGGGCAGTGCTACAACCCCTTGCGCCACCAGAGAGGGTCCCTAAATGCACCTTTTAATGTGCAGAAAATTGAAAATGCCCACCATAATTTTCTAGTTCTACTGCATCATGGATTCTATTACAAAAAACAAACAAACAAACAAAAACTGCAGCTATGAGAAAGGGTGGTATAAGCTTAAATTAGAAAATAGCCAGGATACTGACAGATCTGTGCCAAAATCCACAGATCACACTCCCTAAAATTCACTGTGCTGCACCCAGTAATTTTCTGAGGACTAATTTGTCCATTTTTATTTTATATTTAAACAAAAGGAAGGCCTCCCTAGTGGTGCAGGGGGCTAAAATCTCAGTGCTGCGGAGCTGCTATCAGCCACTGCAGCACAAGTTCAATCCCCAGGCAGGGAGCTGACCTACATGGCACAGCAGACCTCTCCTGTCTTCCCGCTGCTCCTCTCAGCAGTGGATTTCAGTCAATCTGCCCGTTCTGCTCCCCACTATGACTCTGGTGAATTCTCTTGTTCCCTACCCCTGCACCTCTGGCCTACATACCAGCTCTTAAATAAATAAATCGTTATAAAAAAAAAAGGAAATAGCATAGCATAAAATTATCTTTTTTCAATTAAAAGGAAATAACAGGCTTTCAGTAGATTTGTCTTTTTGCAGTCTATATGACCATACTTAAAGCAAAAGCAAAATGGAGAGTCTGTAATTTAAGTGATCCACAACATTCTCAATCATTTCAGATGTAAAAGATAATTCCTTCAGCCGGTCACGAAGTTCGAGTGTAACCAGCATTGATAAAGAATCCCGAGAGGCTATCTCTGCCCTTCATTTCTGTGAAACTTTCACTCGAAAAGCAGATTCGTCCCCGTCGCCGTGTCTGTGGGTCGGCACCACCCTGGGAACAGTGCTTGTCATCGCCCTGAACCTCCCGCCAGGAGGGGAGCAGAGACTGCTGCAGCCTGTGATCGTGTCTCCCAGCGGTACGTGCACAGCGCCGCCCTCCGGTGAAGCTCGGCACTGGTGTTCTGCATGTTTTAATAGATCTGGAAATTCAAAAATGTATAACCTAGTTGTATGTTTTTAATTTTATATATGTAAACCATAAACCAGAGACATCTCATGGGGGTGGAAAGGGAAATGGGATCAGAACTGGGGTGGGAAGAGTGCACTGGGCTGTGGTGATGGCACACGGGGTGAATTGGTGGTGGGAAGCCCATGGGAATTGCAACTGAGATGGAAAAATGCACAAAATGAAGAAAGATGTAAAAAATACACACACACGGGCCCTCCCTGGTGGCGCAGCGGGTTAAAGCACTGCACTGAGAAGCTAAAGCCACTTCCGCATGAGTTCGATCCCCGCCTGCCCCGGAGGTGACCACATGGCGTGGCAGACCTCTCCTGACCCGCCCGCTGCTCCCCTCAGCAGTGCATTTCGTAGATCTGCCTGTTCTGCTCCCCACTCTGTCTCTGGTGAATCCTCTCACCCTCCGCATCTCTGGCCTGTACCCCAGTTTTATATGAATAAATAAATAAATCATTAAAAAAATACACACATACACACACACACACACATATATGATAAATTAAAAATAAATAATAAAAAAAGTATCACTTACATAATATTTCAGTTTTGTATTTTTAACTCCAGGATCGGATCTAAAATGAGAAAAAGTTCTAATAACACAATCCAGGATGCCTTTTTTTTTTTTAAATTGCAGTAGCCTTGCACTACATCATTATAAAAATTTTAGATACGTATCATTGAGAGTCAGCATGTGTACATACCATATTGAGTTCACCACTGGAAAGTCCAGTTTTTCACTATACATTTGTCCCCTTTTATTTGGCTAAAAGTTCTGTAAGCAAGTAGATGATACACATTTAGGGGGAAAACAGAAAAGTGCATTTTTTAAAAGTATACACTTGACTGTTCTTAAAATTTTACACTTGACTGTTCTCTTATTTGAAATATTAGGGAAAAGTAACTTGAAAGCAGATGTTAAAAAGAAAAACACTGCAGCCGTCACATATTAAAACTTACATTAAATTTTAGCAAATACATGTGTAGTCTCTTGGGTCTGAAAATAATTGCAAATTATGCTTTCTGTTATTCCTGGATGCTGATCTAGATAAAAGGATTTGATTTTGCTTATGAACATATTTTGATTGTATATGTAGTAGTTTCACCAGCACTTGTTACTTTTTTTACCGAAAGTGAAAAGAACCAAGTGAAATGAATTTAACCACATTTTTTTAGCCAAAACTGCTACATTTTGCAAGTTACCAGTATTTGTAAATTATTGCGATATTTTGCTCAATAAAATATGAAACAGGGTGGCCCTGGCTGCCATCCACTTGCAGTCTCATTTGCTGGCCGTGCACCTACCAGGCAGGAGGTGGAGCAGGGCCAGACGCAGCTTGTATTTCGTTTACCCATCTGGGACATACAATGCTCTCTCTGAATTCAGGTAATGAAGTCCGTAGCTGTCATCAAGTCACGGTATCACTTCAGCTCAGACTGCATGTTTTTGAGTGTCTATCACGTGTGTAAGTTGGAGTAAACATATTTACTGTGTGGATTAAAATATCTGCTGAACTGGCCTGTTTCAGGAACTCTGTTAAGGCTCAAGGGGGCGATCCTGAGAATGGCATTCCTGGATACCACGGGTTGCTTGGTGCCTCCGGCATATGAGCCCTGGAGAGAACCCAACGTTCCTGAAGAAAAAGATGAAAAGGAGAAATTGAAAAAACGACGGCCTGTCTCCGTGTCCCCCTCCTCTTCTCAGGAAATTAGTGAAAACCAGTATGCAGTGATATGTTCTGAAAAGCAAGCAAAAGTAATCTCACTGCCAACACAGAACTGTGCTTATAAGCAAAATATTACAGAGACCTCATTTGTGCTGCGTGGAGATATTGTAGCGTTGAGCAATAGCATCTGCCTTGCCTGCTTCTGTGCCAATGGACATATTATGACTTTCAGGTAAGAGTTACAGGCTTTTTGTTTGTTTGTTTGTTTTATTTAAATAGAGGCAGCATGTCCTCCCCAAAACACATTCCAGAATTACATTCACTTTCAAATAGACGTTTTTATTTGTTTATGATCTTACACACTGAGGAGTTATTTTCATTCAGGTAATAATAAGCAAGCACAAATACAAATCAGTCGCATCTCCCACTCAAGTAAACTAAATCAGAAGGTTGATAAGGTCCCTGCCATTTTTGACTCCTATAAAATTTTGTTTGAGAGTAAAATCTAACTTTTATTATTAACCAGTTTTTAATCTTTTTCCTCAAGTTTGCCAAGTTTAAGGCCTCTGTTGGATATGTACTACTTGCCTCTTACCAACATGCGGATAGCCAGAACTTTCTGCTTCACCAACAATGGACAAGCATCTTACCTTGTTTCACCTACAGAAATCCAGAGACTTACTTACAGTCAAGAGACCTGTGAAAATCTTCAGGTAATAACAGAAATGTTGCTGTTACTTACTCGGAGGTAAAATACTCTTTAAGGGTCATTATGTTGTCCATCCCTTGTTCTTATGGGGGCTCGCAGGTCAGCCCGTGGGGGATATCCAAAACCTTTAAGTGAGACTTTTAGGTATCAATGTACTCTGGCGAGCTTTTAATTATGATTTCAGGGAGTTTTCATTCCAGTTTTACTCCAGTGATAGAAGATTAACTGTAAGAGCCTCAGTCCACTTCAGCATCATAAAAACAACCAAACTGTCACACAGTATTAATAACTATTTCCTCCCATTTATAATCATGTTGGAGATAACATTAATATGGCTACATCTAAAAGTAAATTTTTTGGACATTTCTATTAACTTTATCCCAGCACTGAAGAAGAAATTTGAGAAGTGTATATACACTTCCGCCTAGCTGTAATAGCGTGATGCCAGCGTAGTGACAGGGTACTGCAGGTACGCCTCACCTGGACTGCTGCTGAAGCACAGCACATCCACTTCTCTTCAAGGGGCTGAAGTATAGTCACAAGTTTTACTACGTTTTGCTTTTATAGCTTTCCAAAGCTTCCTTAGAAATAACACTCCAATCATCCTTCTCTTAGAAATTCTTTCCTCTTTTATATATTATGTACAAATCAGTAACATGTCAACAACCTTTTCTCCTGATTTTTATCAGTTTTGTGCTCTGAAGAATATTGACAGTAATTTTATAAACATTTGATAATGTAGAAGGAAGCCTTGCCATCTTCCTACCAGCTTCTGAAGTTCTAGGGGAATGTTGACATAATTCTCTACCAAGCATATATTTATGAAAAAGGAAGTTGGTATGTCTTTCTATATTATTGATTCTCTGACCCAGGTGAAGGTTATCATGCCAGACTGTGTTGTCATTAACTATACTTTTAAACTTGCTAGTGATTTTTCTTCTTTCTAATGTAGGAAGAACCTTAATTATTAATCCAGTTACGAGTTCTTGATAATAAGATTTATGTGAAATTTTTGTCATGGAAATTAAAAATCTTACTGTTGAAGCAGGAATATCACTTTTGCTGGAAATGTATACAAGTAAAATAACAAGCTAGTTGGTTCAGTTGATTGGTATGATCTTTTGAAATGTGCTTAGTATTAATTATTTGTGAATCTCAACAGGTAATACTGTAAGCTTCTTAAAGTGTTTACAGTGATATGCTTATGAAATTACAGTTTGATAATTATAGTTTAACAGTTGCAATTTGTTTTGATTTTAAAGGAAATGTTGGGTGAACTCTTCACTCCCGTAGAAACACCTGAAGCACCAAACAGGGGATTCTTTAAAGGCTTATTTGGAGGTGGTGCACAATCTCTTGATAGAGAAGAACTATGTAAGTTGATGTATTTAACTTGAATTATAAACCTGTTAAAACAAAAGCTGGTAATATAAAGGTTCTTACACACACACACACACACACACACACACACACGTTCCTACCCTTTATGGCAACAATTACTATGTATATCTTTAAGCAAAATATCTCAGTTTTTGTCATGCTAGCCCAATTCAGGGAATAATTCTACTCAGGAAACCAAAATCAGAATAGCTTCAGATAACTTTTAAAAATTTGAATAAATAATTCAGTAAGTTTTTTAAATTAAGTGATCATTTTAATTCTATAGTTGATTTTAATTAGTACCTTAACTTTGAAAAACTTTTTATATAAACATTTGTTTAACACTTCAAGAATGTTCTCATCGCTCTAGAAGTTACAGAAAGTAGCAAAAACTGGTTTATGTATTACCTTCACTTAATTGACACAATTAGTAATGGGTTCTTGAATGAACTAATGAGTCAATAATATTTGATCTTACTTTTTTAAATAAGAGCGATTATCTGTCCTTAAACATGCTTTTTCTAATTTGCTAAAGTATTACACAATTTTTTTTTCTTTTATAGTAAGTTTAATTCTCAGTAATATCAGTACAGTGCAGTTTTATTTTAAAAGCTTACTCAGATGATTGGTCCATCACTTTAATGCATCTTTTAACAATAAAGACTTCTTCAAATCACAACTTGGAGCAATACTCCCATTGAAGATAACTGATAAAGTTGCACAAAGATTTTGAAATTCTTAAAAACATCAGAGAGCTAGTAATGACAATGTCCGTGGCAGCAGTGGGAGGGGAGAGGGGAACCCTGATTGATGAGGTTGTTGACTTGAGGCCACTTTTACCCTGTTGAACTTTGCCAATATGCTAAATAGGAGACTAAGGTAATAGGCAGGAGTAGGGCTGGTAGCAAGGAAGGCTCTCAGGTATAGGATGAGAACATTGATAAATAGCTTCTTTCTTTGACCCAAAATTGCAGCTTAAGAGTAGAAGTGAACTACATGTAAACCAGCCCTCACACAGGCTCCATAGGCTGGACTTCCAATTCAGATTCTGAGTGATCCTGAAAACTATGAACCTTAATTAAGACTTTTCCACTCTGCTAGTGTTCTCAGTGCCTGGCAGGAGCAAATGGAAATGTTCTGTAAAGAGAGACACCATACTCCCAAGCTTCCAAATTATTTCTGTAAATTTAAATTTTTGAATTATATAGTCATAGATAACAAGGAGCAGTAGGAGTTAGCACCATGTTAAAAACAAAAACAGAAAAAACCGAAGTAGAATTACAGACATTTCAGATATTACAGTTATCAGAAACAAACTATAAATAATTCTGATATATTATTTTCAAAAGGATAAGTGCTATATATACTTAAGCATTTGAAAGTCAACATTGCATATATGATAAAAACAAACATGAAATTCTAAAACTATAAAATTCAAAAATCAAAATTGAAAATTCAGTGGATGAATTTAACCACAAATAAGGCAAGCATGAGGAAGGAAATAATTGCATAATTTAAAGATAGGTCAGAATGAATCCTCAAGATTCAAACAAACAAGAAGGTAAAATACAAAGAAGATGTAAGTAATAAAGTTTGTAATTGGTGCAAATATTTCTGACTTGATCCAAGATACAAATTCAAGAAGCTTTGTACAAAGGATTTTTTTTTAGTTGCAGCTAGCTATGTCATGAGAAAATACAGATGCCAAAACCAAATAGAGAATCTTTAAGGTGTCTAGAAAAAATGATAGATACCATTTAAGAAATTGTTAGTTGGTACCTCACTTTTCAGTGGTCATCAAATATAGTAGGATAATCTGTTATATTTTTAGCAGTACTTAATCTGGAATTCTGTGCTCAAAGAAAGCATCACACTCAAGAATGATACATGTTCTCTCCAATAGTGCTAGTAAAACCAAACCACTATGTGCAAAAGAATGAAACTAAACTATTACCTCACATCATGCACAAAGATCAACCCAAAATGGATGAAAGGCTTGAATGTAAGACCTGAAAACTCTACAATATATAGAACAAAACAGTCCATGACATACATTTGAAAAACATCTTAAAGACTCACCTGCCAAAGCAGGTGAAAATAAGGAAAAGATAAACAGCATCAAACTAAAATTGGGATTGCATCAAACTAAAATTTTCTGCACATCAAAAGAGCCAGTAACTAAGACAAAGACACACCCTACTGATGGGAGAAAATGTTTGTGTTCCACAAAATTGATAATCAAAGATCTACAAAGAGCTTACACAACTCAATAAAAACAACATACAGAATCTAGTCAAAAAGTGGGCAAAAGAACTAAAAAGAGACTTCTCCAAAGAGGAAATGCAGATGGCCAACAGGCACATGAGGGAAAAAAGAATACTCAGCATCACTTATAATCAGAGAAATGCAAATCAAAACAATAGTGAGATATCACTGCACGTGAGTAAGAATGTCTTCTTTAAAAAACTAACTACAAATGTGGGGATGTGGAGAAAAGGAACCCTCCTACATAGCTGGTGGGAATGCAGAATCGTCCCACCGCTATAAAAAGCTGTATAGAGGATCCTCAAACTGCTAAATATTGATCTATCATATGACCCAGCAGTTCCATTCCTATGAGTCTATCCAAAGAGCACAAAAACATTAATTTAAAAGGAAAGTTGCACTCCTGTGGTCATTGCAGCACATTGATAGTAGCTAAAATATGGGAACAACCTAAATGCCCCCAAGCAGATGACTGAGTCAAGAAGAGGTGGTCTAGCTACACAGTGGAATACTATTCAGCAATCAAAAAAGATAAACTTATGCCAGTCACAACAACAGGAATGAAGCTGGAGATTATGCTCAGTGAAATAACTCAGAAGGAAAAAAGAAAAAATAACAGCTGTTTCACTTATAAGAGGAACATAGGAAAACAATACAAGGGATCAGAATAAAAAAGACAAAACTAGAAAGCAACCTATAAATCTGAGACATTCAGCAAGGAAGAGGAGGGAGAGGGGTCAAAACAGGTGAGGGAAGAGCACAGGAGTCTATGGTGACCGTTCACAGGTGGTGGTAATTTTATGGGGATAACAGTTCAACAACTGAGAGCAGAAATCAAACATTGTACAAAAATGAACAATGATGGAAGATAGATAGATAGATAGATAGATAGATAGATAGATAGATAGATAGATAGATAGATAGATAGATAGATATGTAAATGAAAAAAATTTAAATGAAACAGGATTATACAAATCAGCCTTGTCACCAAACTGGGGGCAACACTAAAGGATGTACTTTAGATAGAGTCAAGATAGTCTTTAATGCAATGACTTGGAAAGAAAATAATAAATATATTCTCCATTATAATCTTTATAAACTGTAAAACAAAGTCATTTAAATACACATAAATAAAAAATCCACCTGTGCTGCTCCCCACTGTGTCTCTGGTGAAGCCTCTTACTCCCTCACCCCTGTCCTACACACCAGTTCTTAGTATGCATAAATAAATTTAAAAAAGAGATCAGAGACTGAATCAGTATATAGGAATTCTTTGAGGAAAATAGAAAATTATAAATCTGTTCAAAGAAGTCAGGGTCCCTAATAGAATACTCCCCCACCTTTTCCATGGGGGGCACATTTCCATGACCCCCAGTGTGTGTCTGAAACCACAGGTTATTATGCAAAACCACATATGCATCTTATGTATGTATGGGTAATGTTTTTTGCTATATACCTGTAATAATAAAGTTTATAAATTCAGCACAGTAACAGATTAACAATAGTAGATTAACAGAATAATAATAAAGAGAATAATTATGACAGTATAGTATAAAAGATGAATGCGGTCTCTTAAAATAGTATGCATAATATTTTTGGAAGCAGTTGACCACAGGTAACTGAAATTACAGATTTCAGTTTGGATAACTAAGCCAAGAGATGCACCACATTCATACTGAAGAAGATTCACTTAAAAATATCGGTTCTCCCAAAGCTGCACTGTGTGTGTATGTGTGTGTGTGTGTGTGTGATGTCATTTAAAGGTATTTAAATATAAACAAAAGAATCAGCATCTCATGATCACTGATAGGATGGAAGAACTAAAATCAAAATGGCAACACTCATCAAATTGATCAACCCACAGTCAATACAGTGTGTCAAAAACCTCAGCTGGTTTTTTTACAGAAAAGAACAGGCCGTTCCTAAGATTCATATGGCAATACTCTATGCTGAGGGAAGCTTCAGTCTTTTAATACAATGTAAGGCTTTTGTTATACCCTACGTGTTGGGTAGTCAGAAAATGGATTATAGAAAAGGAAACAATGATTCCTGAGATTTTTAGAAGGGAAATTTTCATCCACTTGATAAGTGACAAGATGAATGCGAGAAAGAAGAGCCTGTAACATAGCTGCAACTTCTAGAGACTGAAAGAGAATATTCAATAAATTCATCACTTCCCTGTATTTCTAGCCTTGGCATATTATTTTTTAAGTCAGAGAAAGAATGAAAGAAATTAATTCAAATCTATAATTAAGCTATATCTTTCTGTGATAATTGTAATTTTCTCTAAGATAACTTTTATTTTTGTACATGTAAGAGTAATGTTTACTGCTATGTAACTTGGTATCAGTATGCTCTTTAATACACCTCAGAAATAATTACTAGCCTCAGTTTTGCGCAAGTCTTGCTATCAGAACTAGAATGGAGTAGAATACTTATTATCGTGTGTTGTGCTTTGCATGTTTGAGGAAGTAACTAAAATTAAAACCATCATAATAAAAGTAAAGAATATGTTGATTGCAACGTGTGGAAATATGTTATCTTATCACAAAATCTGCAAATTGGGTTTTAATGTTAAGATGTAGGGTTTTGATAAAATTTTCATGTTTTGAGTTATTCTTTCATGTATCGTATCCATTTAGTTGGAGAATCAGCCTCTGGAAAGGCTTCCAGGAGTCTTGCACAGCACATCCCAGGCCCTGGAGGCATCGAAGGTGTGAAAGGAGCCGCCTCGGGAGTTGTTGGTGAATTAGCCCGAGCCAGGCTGGCACTAGATGAAAGAGGACAGAAGCTTAGTGACCTGGAGGAAAGAACGGCAGCCATGTTATCCAGCGCAGACTCGTTTTCCAAACACGCTCATGAGGTAGGTCTACCAAAGGAATGTTTAAAAAAAATTTTTTTTAAAGTAAAGCAGCTATGAAAAGTGTTACATGCTTAGAGTTATTGTATCTCTACATGGGAATTTTCCTGTACCGTTGGTACAATTATAAATTCCTGATTTTTGCCACCAGAGGGAACCATTATATGAAGAGATTTACACATTTTGAAGGAATTTGTAAACAGAACCAGCAACTGTATCTATTTCTTTAAAAAATGCAGTAACACATCTTTTCCCTAAATGCCTCAGATTCTACTGTCAGCTTTTCCTAGCAAAGGAAAATTTACCTCTCTTGATTCTTTAGGTAGATCTTTAAGAATCTCTAGGTTCTTTAGGTAACTAAAATTGACAGACATTTTTATTCAAATGAACAATTGAATAATACCAACTCTGTCTCTAGACCAAGCCATAAGAGGAATAAGGGAAGGTGTATTTATTGCAAAAAATTAATCTTGATAAACTAGGACATAATGATGAAGCTTCAAAACGTGTTGTAAAGTAGGGACCGCACCTCATCCATTAACAACGATGCTCTGTTTCCTGCATGTCCGCTCAGGCATATCCATTCTTCCTAAAGCCCTAAAGCTCTGCCATCGCTCTGTGCTTTATTCTGGGCTGCTATCTCACACATGTAGTCCCTAGGCTTAACTTGCAGACCTTTTGGTTTTGGATTTGGAGAAGCCATGTTAAGCTTATTTTTATTTTGGCATATCCAGTCGATCAGTGATAGCTCTGCTTTAACACTTTCAGTCAGAATTCACTTTGTTCTTGCTTGGAACTAAATACCTGACCCGGGAAATATTTGTCCAGAGTTTCAAATAGATTCAGATGCTCTGTGAGTACTTGTACTAGACTAACACATGCCTAGGACATAAGCTTGTGTGATATTTTTGTTGTCATAACCTGTTCCGGTTGCTGATCACTAAAGCATGTAACATTTCGGCAATTCCAGGTATAGCTGCATTCTGAGGTATTTAGCAAAGAGCTCAATCTCAAACTGATCGCTTTTCACTTAAGCCAGTTTTTCTTGAGCCATATTTGAAAGTCTGAGGAAGACAATACACTGAAGTGGTTAAGATCATAGGTTCTTGAGTCAGACTGAATATTCATTCCTTGACTTAGCTTGGGTGTCTCCTATAAGCCTCAGTTACTTCATTTATAAAATGGGGAGAATAATAACACGTAGACAAGGAGTCATTATGATGACCCGCTGAGCTCTTGTAGGATAGTGTGTCATTCATATGGTGCCTGACTTCAGAGCAAGTGCTTAGAAAATTCTGGAGGGCAGTAGTAGTAAAATTTTCAATCTCTGATTCTCCAGGTTCTTGAGCATTATTTATAATTCAAATTAGCTGAAAATTATCTTACTGGTGGATTATTAACTTAGGTTATGAAAGAATGCAATGAGCCAAAATTTCATCATGTCACATCTCTAAGAAATTGAAAACTGGGTAGGCAGTTCTTAATTGTTTTTATCTTTGTTTCCTCTAGATGGGATAGTTGTTGTTTTTAAATTGGTTCACAACACTATCTCTGACTAAGAGGTATGGGGTGATCACATTTAAGATCTATTACCAGGGCACGTGATTCCTCCACCATCGCCCATTGGACCCCAGCACACCATCCTCCGTCACTGCTTTCACTGTAGACTGATTTGAAGTAAGCGACATGCGTACTGTTTCAGAATGATGTAATGAACTGGGAAAATATAGATACCAGTTATATAAATATAGTTGTTCTAGTGTTTTCCAACCATGTTTTTTGTGTTTTCTCTTGTTTAGATGATGTTGAAATACAAAGATAAGAAGTGGTACCAGTTCTGATGACCAGAAATACAACTAAGTCCCTCTTCAGCCTGAAGGAATTTTTTCCCCTTTTTTATTTTATTGAATCAATTTAGGGAAGTTAACATTAAAGGATATTCATCACTGGATACTGTTCTTTCCTAGCACAATCATGCACTGTTTTACCTCAGTCTTGTGGTGGCTTTAACCTAGGAGTGTCACACACACTCACGAGCTCACTCACAATGTGGCCTGCTCTGAGTCGACAGTTCGGGAACTACGCAGCTCACACAGTACATATGAAGAAACAGAAGGACATTGAGGAGCCGTGGCAGGAACTATTCCTGGATCATTCCCATATAATGCTTTCATATGCCAAAAGAGTCTGTGCTGTCTTATCTGCCATCAGTGTTTACCCATTTTGAGGGAGAGGCAATGAGTCAGAAACCTGCAACTGACACCGTTGTCTTGTGGCGTTGACTGATTTATAAGCGGCCATCTTGGACTAACCCTCCCTTAGACTGACCAGTCATCAGCATCATTAGTAAAAAAGAAACAAACTGTCGGTTACCATACCTTTAGGCAGATAAGCTGAGTGGTGGGCTTTAAATAATAAAAACATACACATAGTTGACTTGTGTATGGGCTATTCTTGGATTCTTGTTATTGTAAACTTGTGTTTAGTCCATATTTTGTCAAAAAGCAAAACAAGGTGATACATCACTTTTCATTGAAAAGAAAAGTGTAGAGCATGACTGAATTGCTCATCATTCTGGGAGTTTCCATGTAGTGGCTATGCAGTGTGGAAAGTGAGAAAAACCTCCATTGTGGTGAGGAGAATACTTCAGTGTCCTTTGTCCTTCTCATTAATTCAGCGAAAGGTGGATTTGACCAAAATAGTTAACTGGTTAAATTTGTAGAAATGTTGATATTGGCGAAGTTTTTGATTTTGCTTGAATTTTTATAAAATGTTTAACCAAATGTACCTTTGCATTATTTGATTAAAATTGCTAAAATAACTGTTTCATTATTTCGGTAACAATGCTCAGCTCCCTTTTTAAAATGCCCTTTATTCGCTAACAGTTCCAGTACACTCAGGTGATGAGTCAATTAAATCTTAGTGCACATGCTGTCGCATGGAAAATTACAAGCATCTGTTGTCAATTATTATCTATGTAAAAGTCTAGTCTGATGACCTACAAAATATTTTCTGTAGAAATAAACAATAAGTCTGTATATGTCCTGTATAAAGCCAAACGAAAAGGAAAATATGTACATTTTGATAACTAAAATTTTTCTGTATTGGAGTATAACACAGTCAACACCATCGATGGGTAATGGATGACGGGTTCCTAGAATAGCGTTGCAGACAGGAAGGAGACCACTTGGGAGACCTGGAAGTAAGTGATCTCGTAATGCAGGCAACAAAAGAAGAGCAAAGTAGAAGCCTTGCAATTAATATCAATGAAATTTAAATACTTTCTTCTATAAAAGTTGTTTAAAACTGGTTTGTTTATTCATAGAGAGAGAATCAGAGCACAAATTGATAGCAAACATGTCGTTTTTCTCTTCCATATGAACGTTAATGGTATAGTAGAGAGATAAAACACCCAAATTTCATGGCAGTTTGTAATGCATCTTTTTTCTCTGTACTCTTTTCATTAATAAAGCTTTTATGTTTACATTTTATAATGTGCACTACGGGATAAAAACAGTTTACATTAAAATTTCCTTTAAATGTGATGAAGATAAGTAAAACCAAAAGAAATATTTTAAAAATATTTTCAATTTTTTTTTTAATTTCAAAGTACCCATGAATAGCATTTCTCTTCAGTTAAAGTCACTGTGTGAACATTTAGCAATTTATAAATCGCTTAATGTGTGTTGCATTATCTAAATAATCCATTGTTCTATGTTATGTCACAGGAAGTAGTAGACCCTTTTTTAAAGGTACAGTTTTGTGGATGTCATCACTAAAATCAGCAGACTTCAAAAATGCTTTCAAGTTGAGAAGCACTAAGTAAAATAAAATGCTGGTCAAGTCCCTGTTCATGTAGAAGGACATATTTGCTCCATTTATTTAATTTGCTGTGGTTACTTTTTGTAATTGTATATCAACATCATTTTTACTGTCATTTTTTCTATTGTATATAAAATGAACCAATCTTGTAATAACTTTCAAGTACAGAAATAGATGCATTTAAATGAGTGGATTTTCTAAGAAAGTCTTAAATCAATATTTTGAGTTAGCTTGTTTCCTTTTTGAATCAACCTACAAATTATGCACAAAATAGAAATGTTCTTAGGATAGGAAAGTGAACTATTTTTGAGAATAAGAAATAAGCTTCTTGGAATTATACTTGATTCAGTCTGTAGATAAAGAGAAAGTCTGCAGTAATAACCCAGGGAATTTATTGTAATCTCTCAAAGATAACATCTCTATTTTTTTTTTCTTTTTAAACAGAAAAGTTATTAGTCACCAGCAAGCCAAGATTTCAGGAAAGCAAACCAAAAAATGTCAAAGTATCAGAAAAAAGAAAGATTTCTGTGTGCTTCCTTCATATCCTCAAACATCATTCTTTGCCCCTGTGGCCCTTGGCCCTAAAATCTCCGAGGTATTCACTGATTAGCTATTTCTCAGTACGAAGTTGTGTTGTTTCCTTTTATTTGCACATACCTAGACTGTTTCACTCTTTAAATGAAAACCCCTATGTATTTGCTTAGACAGTTGTTTGAAATCTGACATTGCAACAAATTGTGTACATAGCGTCCTTTGAAATCCTCATCTTAGTCTCCTTGGTTTTCATCTCATTGGTACAAAGTGTTTTTCCAGAAATGGTTATAACTGAGCTATTACTAACTTTTACGTTTTTCGGATGTGAAAAAAGCTGCTACTTGTGTGTTATGTGTAGGACATTACGGTTTAAGCACAGTACTTCAAAGAAAGAAGCATTTCTTTTGCTTAGAACTTCTTAATTACAGGTTCTTCTGAAGTTCTTTCACATAGATTTGTGAGTTTTAAACAAGTCTGAAAGTGTTACATATTTTTAGAGTACAGGAGTTGTGGGGAGACAGCGAGGCAAGAAAACACGTGGAAACATGGAGTCTGAAGTTTCACCTGAGTTCTGCATCCCATACATGTTCTGCTTAAGGCATTTGTCATGTGACTCTAGAAAAGCTATATCCAAAGGCAAATTTTTTTGTGGCCAAGACTTATTTTACATTTTAGCTTTCAGGATTTTGTTGGGTTTTGCAAAATAAAGAGCACTGAACTTTAAACTTGAATTTTTTCTGCACTTTTTTAGGTAAAGAGAATTTTATTATTTAATCCACATTTCTCAGTTCAAGTGATGCATATGTATAAAACACCAAAATCATAATGATGCTGCTAGCTGTACCTTTAACAATTAAACTGATCAGTTTTAAAACCTTAAAGAGGGTTTTATATCGTTATCAAAGATAAAATAGTAAAATAATGTGCTGTGTGTTTCAGTGTTCTCAGTCTTGAATTGTGACACTTTCAGATTTGTTTTACGATCATATAGTAACATGTTATATTTATACATACTGCTAGAGAATATACTTTTAGTTTTAAAATGGGATTTTTATAAATGTATTTAATTTTAAATATGGTGAACTTGTTAAGTTTAAGTCAGAGTACTTAAAAAGTATGTATATTATCCATACAAAAAGTTATGTTTTAAGCTTACAATAAGAAATATTGGTATCTCATATCGAGATACAGTTAATTTAAAAAAAATACATCATTCAAAAGTCTTCACAGGTGACAGGATATCATTACTGTGGTTTAAAAGAGCCCTCTATTGAGCGTTTTCAAATACTAATTTTATTTTGGGGAATGTGCCCACTAATTGCAAGGTCTTTCTCAATAGTTGCAGCTTGCTGCTGCTGGATGCCTACCTTAACTATTGTTTGAAAATATATATATATATATTTAAAATAGTTTTCGAGGTATTTTCTTCTACCTTTTTTAAAAATAAATTTCCAAAAATGAAAACAGAGCTTATGTATTTTTGTCAATAAGGTTTTTATTTTGTAGTTTATAGAATTTGTTCCTTATCAGTTTGATACTTGATCAATATTCCTAGACTTTTTAATCTGTATTTACTTTGGAAAAAAGAACAACCCTCTGTCTGAAGTGTTCTTCCTTTTTTCTTTTTCCTTCTAGTATGTTCTCTTGGGTTGAAATTTAAACCCATGCATTATTTTTCTCATTTGAAAATGAATGTGAAAATACTGTTTACAGCTTTTGTTAATGTGTTCTCATCACTGTTTCATTTCTTGTAAAGTGCTACAGGGGTTATATTTCCTGTGGATGTTAATGATCTTTACCACCACAGAAGTAAATGTTCTGTGAACAGAATATAGATAGTTATACAACAACAACAACAAAAATTAGAGGAAAAACTTTATTCTACCTTTCTCAGCTAAATTGGTCTTAGTGACTTCCCAATTATCAGAATTATAACATTCCTTTTTTTCAGTTACCTTGTCACTCTTAAATTATTAGGCACAATTCATTGACAGGGTGATTGCAGTAGTCCAGAGCTGCATGTAAGTGCTTCTTTTGTTTTACTCTTTACATCAGAAAAGTCATGAATGTCGGTCTTGCCAGTGTTTTGCAGTGAGGCTCATGGTTTAAAATGTCATGGTGTATGAGATATAAGTAAATCAGTATTAACTCATTATAGGTTATTTGGCTCAGGCATTAAAGTGGCTATAGGCTAATGGCAGTGGAATCATTTATTTACTTTTTTATGTTTTTTGCTAGGTTTGTGTGTATGTGTGTGTGTGTGTGTGTGTTTAAACTTCAACAGAATACAATGTAAGGAATTTGAAAACAGACAACCATGTAAAGCAATGCAAAGAGGGTAAATCATGTTTTAATTTTTTTTTTTTTTTTTGTAAATAAATGGTACTGTGATTCTTTGATTCTTTAGGCGTGTTAACATGGTAGTTAGAATTCATTTTGCTTTTTAGTTATACTATGGTTTCATTGTAAATGCATCACCAGGAACAATATGCAAAAGAGCAAGATTACATTGTTCTAACATTGTCCACCCTGGGAGCAAGCATGCTTGGTGTAGAACTTCAGCTTGTGTATACCTTAAACTGTAGATGCAGATAGTTTTCAGTTGCTGCACATTTTTGAAAATCTTGCTCAGTCCAGTAACTCACCAGTAATTACTGGAATATGCATTTTAAATATGGTTAAAAAAAATCTGTGTACTGTTTCATTAAATCAAAAACAAAACAAAAAGCACTATTGCAAACACTGAAAATGTGTTAAACTTTGTAGTTATTTTGCATTCTGTACTTTACAAACTGTCATCACAGCAAAAGGTTTAAAATTAGGTAATGAAATATTTTTGTAAATAAATACCGTTAAGCTGGTATTTTAAAAATGTATTATAAATTAATGTTTCTGGATAATGTTCATATATATGTATATGAATGTCTCTTTATGCTGAAGGGCTCTGATTGGGCAAAATAAAATACTCTAATTTCTCCTGGAACTAAACAAGCCCTTTTTTCTGGAAAATTTGTTTTAATTTTTTTCTCAGAATTTTCACTAATGTGGAATTAACCCATTAGTTTAAGCAAATAGATTTGTATACTGGCAGAGGGAAAGTCCAAGTTAAGACGGTGATTCAAGTAAGACCAATTATGTTTTAACTCTCCTGGCTTTTTTGCTGCAGTCAGCTGGTCCTGCATGGGGTTGGGGTGCAGAAGCGGGCTGGGCGAGGCAGGGCTGTGGCGGGGCCTCAGCCTGCAGGGTATGGAGTCCCATGGCGCTTGTCAAAAAGCAGACTCCCAGTCCGGACACTGGGGAAGTTGTCCCCGGGTCTATTCAAACAATCTCCAGGGAAAACTGACGCTACTGCTCTGAGGAACATACTTGCAGTAAGGAGATCCAGGTAATTTCTCTAACTGGCATTTTGCTAGTTAACATTGTATCAATGCCCAGCTGCTGGTGCCAAAACTGAACAGCACGTTAATGGATCTAAAATAATCTAACTCATAGGAGACCAAGCTCCTTGTGCATTATTGTTTTCACTGCATTTCAAAATAAAGAATGGTTATTCTCTACTAAATCAGTAGGTGTATTTGGCTTTGCGTCTATAATCGTATCGTCCACGCGGAGGCACTCACGTCTCACTTACTGTCTGAACCTTTACCAAGAAGCGCTCACAGGACGCTGCCACAGGCACGAAAGAGGCAGTGGATCATTGTCAGGAGTGATACATTTTAGCGAGGAAATTATAAAAGTCTTGGATAAGGAAACGACATGTTCTTAAATTGTTAGGAGTGATGCAGTTTATTTGGCAAAGTGATCTGTTGTTACCAAAAGAAATTTTCTTATTCTTCCAGGAAATACTAGTGATAAAATTTTTAAATCTTAAAAAAAATGAAAGATTGCCTTTTATTATATCTCTTCTTATTGGTTTTGAAGTAAGCTTGCTTAGGGTGTTTCCTGTATAAACTGTACAGTGCCATCCATCATTTTAGGTAGAAATAAATATATTTGTCATTGTATCTATTCATAGTCTATAGGAAGATTCTGATTTTCTCCCTTTACAGACAGTATCATTACTATGTCTTACTTTGTCCAGTGTGTGTACAAATGTGATATTTTGAGGAAGGAAAAACTTCTCTAAGTCACTGTAGACTGCAAATTTTACTGAACATTAACATCTGAGTATTCACTCACAATGAAAATCTCCTGCCCTCTAGTTTTAGACATGTGTTATAATTTTACCCTATTTTACAAAGCAAAATCTCAAGCCCATAGTTATTTTTAATCATTCCTTTCAAACAAATTAAAGTACACTTAATTTTTAAGTTTCAGAATTTATTGGTATTGCAAAGAAAAGTCTGAGGACGTTTTCACAATATCAACCTCAAGTCCTTAACTTTTTTTGCAAATTTCTGTCATACATGGAAGACCCATGCACGGCTGTTGTACAGATCCTGAGGTAAGCAGCAATGTTGCTGTGTAAAAAGGAGTGTGTGTGCTGCTCACACAGGCTGCCTCTCTGCCTCTTCCCGGTAGTTCCCCTCTCACTCTCTTCCCCTTTCCTTCCTCACCAGCTCTCCCCTTTAGTCTTTCTAACTGACCTTCCCATACTGCTCCTGTCCCCAGTGCTGCCTGGCCCTGATCTCTCAACTCTTCTGCAGTGCTTGGTTAACCAAGCACACTTCTCTGTCCAGGAGGAAAGGAGCACCATAGTTTATGTTTGTGAAGCCCCTTCTAAATGTTGGTGGCTTTATAAATAATTGCGGTAAGTAATTATTCCATATTCCTTGTTACAATCTCCACACACTCAAAATCCCTGAAGTAGAAACAGTTTAGCACATGGAGAAAGACAGACCTGTACTGAGGAAAGGGAAACACTGTACTAGAAAAATTTGCAGACCCAGGTCCAGGGGTTTAGCCACATGACTAGTTCACTTTCAAGACCTTTAGTATTATATATAAGGGGGAAAGGCTGTCCTGAACGAACTCTGCAGATACAGGTTTGGTGGACTCCACCCCCACCCCAGACTCTGGAAATACAAACCCCATCGACACCAAAGAGAAGCAAGCTGGGACCTGCGGGTAGAGCTAAGCAGCCAGGTTTGGATATAAACCCGACAAGTGGGCACCAGGGGTCTCTTGGCCTCCTGGCTCTCAGCTTCTCTCTTAGCTTTTCACCAGCTTTCAAAGTGTTTTTAGGGTTCCACGTCAGCAGAAATGGTAGGACACATTAATTATCTCTTTCCCTGAGTTATTCATTTCCCTTTTCCCTTGTAAATAAACCCATTATTGACTTTTTCTGTGTGTCTGTAGTTGAATCTTAAGCACACACTGGCGAGGACCCACAGTCAGGCAACCCAGTTGGGTTGCCCTGTAACAGTATGGGTATAGAAGGCATTTCAGAAAGCATAACCCCTTATGCTGCTTGACAAGCTATAGATGGCATTAGTCTAAGCAGTGGTTATCAACCGTGGGACAGATTCTCCTGGAAACTTGCTTATACACATTGCTGAGCTCACCCTCAGGGTTTCTGCTCCAGACCTCCAGTGCCTGACTGAAGGAAGCTAGTGCAGGAGATACCCTGGGGAAGCTGACACTGCTGGTCCAGTAGGATAATGCCCAGGGCCAGTCCTCCTTATGTCAGTTATTTTGGATGCTTGCTATCATTGAATGATAATATGTACCCTATAAATTTGTTAAATATCCTGGTAACCCAGAGATGTCAACTTGTACAAATACACACTAAAAGAACCAAACAAAACCCCTACAAATTTCCAAATCTCTCCTATAGGGTGAACCCTGCTTCTTCCCACCACCCACATGACCACTGGCCCAGAGAAGACCAGTAGTAGAGCACACCATTTTTCATAACTGTTCAAAGGGGCTGTCAAAAATTGTTCATAAATGCTATGCCATCAATGGAGGACAAGGATTAAAAAACTGGAAAGGTGGTACCACAAGACCAGAAACCTGGATCACACAGAGCCAGGAGCCAGCCAGGGTGGGAGAAGGGGGATTAGCACCTTTGACCCAGCTATAGGAACTAAGACCATTAGGCTCCATTCCCTAGATCACAGAGCACAAGACCCAAGCAGGTTATAGGGAGTGTGCAGACCCCACAGTGGAATCTCTGACCCCTTACAAATTCTACATAAATATTCAAAGTCAACAACAAACAAAACACTCCAAGACAGAGTGAGCCCCTCCAGAGGAGACCGGGCAATATCAGGGCTGTTTCTGCCCTGTCCTCTGGGCATCCGTCCTGCCCTCCTGTGCTTACTCAAGTGCAGCTTTTCTCTCCCTCAGCTGGGCAGCAGCCCCTGCTTGCCCATGGCCTGTATCTCAAGGCCACCCTCCTGCAAACCTACAGGCCTCTCTCAGCAAACCTGTCCCTTTCAGGGCAGCTCTTCCTGCCCCTTGGCGTCTATGCAAATGTCCTTTATTTTGCTCTTTTTTTTTAATAATA